AAATGTATTTAAATTAAAAGAGATGAATAATCTTGTCACTTGATACATTTGACACCAGGTGTCTTGTATTTGTCCATAAGAGACCCCTTGTTATTGTATCATGGTTTGAGAATGAGTTCAATTTTGATATTTGTTGTTGATCTGAGCAAAATATTGATTATTGATTTGCCTACTGAGGCACACAGTATTGAACAGTCAATTGTGGTGAGTGATGCTGAACTGCCTGTTGTATGTTGTGAGTGACACTGAATTGCCCCAATTGTGGCTCAGGAAAAAATGTACCTGCTGACTTGTCAAATAATCTCCTTAATTAAATAATGTTCTGGGAAGTAATTTGTGTAATTGATTACAAACAAAAACAAGAGCTTGTTAACAGTATAATGAGGAAATTAATTCCATCTCATTATATTATTCAGCCTTGATAAAGCATATGGAGGCTTTCTGTCCGATTTGACCCTCATGCATGTAATTGTTTGGGAATGCCTGATCATTAAGATCACAACATTTGTTTTGAAGCTTGGCCTTTGAAATCTAAACCCAAAGCACTATATGTGTGTTCACAATGTTCTTGGGATAAGAATGAAAATCAAATAAAACATTTCAACTCAATTAAATTCAGGAAATGTTAATTAACCATGGAGGTCAACCAGGTTATACTCAGGGAATATGGCTAACATAAGCATTTTTTAATTCCAAGTGCATACGATGTTGACATTCCTTGTTTTTTCAGACATTCTTTGGGTCTTGTACTCTCTTTAACTGTTAAATATACTGTATGATATTGACATTTGCAAGAAAGATCTATTGTAGCAACAATAACTATTAAATGTTTTGATGATCATGGATATGGTGTATTGAGAGTCCATATTATTAAATTAAAGTGATTTTACATATCTGTTTCACAATCGAGGCAGCAATTAATTTCCTTGCGTCAGTAATTATATTATAAATACTTCTATCGATCCATTCGTTTTGCACTGTTGCTTTGTTCTCAGAGCTAATTTGAAGACAATTTCAAATTTATTCAATATTTTTGGAAGAACTTTAACAGATTTTTTCATTTTAAAATAGATTTTTGTTCTTTATTTGTCGATTCGGTGTAAATATTGACGAATATATTGTAAAAGCGATCCGCGATCGCACCCCCCCCCCTGTATAGTATTTGCTCCGAGATATCACGTGACAAAATAATCCACAATTTGTGGATTATTTCACCAGCCTTTACCAGGGCCTTTGCTGCCCTTCGCATCTTTCCTCAAAAGGCCCTGGGGACGAGGTTGAGCTAGCATGTGTAGTGGAGGAGGGGGTGTAGGCCAAAATTTCCGAATGTCGAAAAAAAATTCCAAATATTTCATGGCATACGAAGCCACGAAGGTGTTTGCTATCCGGAAAATTAAGACGCTTATAGAAGCATGCAGCGGCCGTTGGAAGCTCTCTTTGATTGGGGGCTAAGAACGAGGGAATTTTTAAATTTAGAGTCTCTGAAATGCCATTTCCCGGACTTTGGGGGAAGTTTTGACAGAATTCTGATGGTCAGAAAACAGCGTTTTATTTTGTCGAAATTTACAATTTGCTTACAATTTAATAGTACTAAATGGGCGAAGGCGTATTTAATTAACTATATATTGGAGAAGTTGCAGGAAAGTATGGGTAATATGATTCTTTGCATTTGTCATGGATAATGTAGCCGCTTATAATTAATCAATTGTCAGTATTTTAAAGGTATATTATTTAAATGATAAAGGTCTGCATGATTTTGAAAAAAGAACAATTATTAGGAAATTATTGGGAGGATTGCAGCCCCCCAGCCCCGGTTGCTAAGTTGCGATTTAGAAGTAATAAATCAAAAAGATATTTACCGATTTACGATTTGTTAAATGTTATCCATGTAAATGCCATGATTTCGTAAATCAGTTTATACTAATAATGCAATTGTATTATATTTTTTTGTTTAACAACTAAAATTTTGCTATACTATTATTGCCGTAATTTTCCGAATGGCCACGCCGATTTTCCGAATATTTTAATTCTAAAAAAGTTGGGGGGTTAACCCCCCACCCCAACACCCCCCTCGCTACGGCCCTCCTCAGTTTATCAGCAGGATGCTGATAAACTCAGTTTATACTCAATTTGTCCCATTATATTAACTATGGCCAGGGGCAGGGAGCTTCGCTCTTAGGAATTCAGACGCAATGCTATTCAAAGGTTTCAGGCAGAAAAGGAAGATAACACCTTTGTTTTCTGTGGGTTAAGTGCATGTGTATCAAAGCTAATTTCGCGTAATTCAGTAAATGAGAACAACAGTTGACTTATTCGCTTATTACACGATTTGTCACATCGTCAGTCTTGACGTGTCCAATACTCTGACATTTTCCAGTCTGGCTCCAAATCGTTCTGGAAAGAATCCCGCAATGATCCATGGGACTGCTGAAGTGAATGCAAAGGCCAATAGTGAAACCCTCTTTTCGCAATGGAGTTTAGTAGTTCACCGCAACGTCTGGCTGCCAGGCTTGTTGTTTTTTTCTGGTAAACATATATGTCAATACGTGAACAGGCTCAATCTCGTACCCAGAGTATCCCTTCAATTTCAGGGAGATTCTGTAAGGGCATACTTTGGGTACGAGATAGGAATGGATTCAGATATTCTTGGCAGTCGCAAATTAATCTGCAATTCGTCGTTCCTGCGGTTAGGCTAGATCAATTTGAAATCCCGGCAGCCTAGGTTTTGGCCAAATTGCCATTACGCTGATTGGCTGATAAGCTGATTAATTTTAAGCTAAAGCAAAAAGTTGGCAAAAATTGAAGGGCGATCAGAGCTGCCACTCGCGATAACCTATTTTTACCTACAATCAGGAGCAAAAATTATTGAGACAACCGCATAAGTGCCCCCCTCACCCCCAATTCAATGTTGTATGGATGACTGAAAAGAGAAAATTCAACCTACTTTTTCCAACATTGAGGGGGCAGGGGGCCCCTAAAATGGACAAAAATGTGAAAGTCTCATTATTTTTGCACGCGATTGTAGGGCGGGCACTGAAATTCCCTACGTTTCCCCTACAGCACAATATGCAATTTCCCCTCTGTTCCCCTATGTTCCCCTACAAATATTGTATTTCCCCTACAAATATTGTATTTCCTCTACAATTATTGTATATATATGTGTTTTTAAATTGTCGATGAGTTATCAACTTATCACTCATCACATGATATTTCAGTGCTTCCACACAGGCCCTCTCAGAGGGGGGGGGGGGAAAGTGGGCAATTTGCCCCGGGCACCCAGTTAAAGTTGGTCCAAACATTTGCACAATGGGGGGCAAAAAGAGTGTAATTACCAAAAATTATTTGGAACGTTTTTTATATAAATAGTGGTATGAGAAAAGATTTTTAGACCTTAATTTCACTGGTGTTTGTCCGGAAAAATTTTTGGAACCTTTTTTCTGCTTCCACATTCAAATTTAAATTTCTAGTTGCTTCCATATAAAATACTGTAGTTCCGATCCGTACATTGAACTATATAATTAAACTTATAAAGTTTACTTATAGTTCAATGGTTCCATGCAATGTTCCATACTCCATAGAAGCCATAAAATATTGAAATTTACGGAAGAACTGAATTGGATAAGCACAAAGAGACAAAAACGATTTTTGAAGATAAACCGTAAAAGAAACTCCCTACGTCCCCCCTAAAAATTACTTTCCCCCCCCGTAGCTATCTATGGTATCCCCAACCCCATACAAGAGTTGATAATTACCGCGTGGGGGAATCCCCCCGAGTGGCATCCTTGACGGGGATACTAAATACCGAGCTTACATGACGTTTTTCATCCATTTCAATATGGCGGTGATATGCAGGACATCATTTGAAATGATTCAATACTTTCAAGGAAATATAGTGCGCAAATTTGTTGGAAATTACTGTAGATTTGTGTTCGAATTTGATGATAAAGACTAATTTTCATCAATTTTTATATTTGGAAAACTCTGCCCTTGGTGGTAAGTCTTTGAATGTCGCGACTTTTGACAAATACACACGTGTGCAGTAGAAAGCATTTATTACCCTTATTGCCCTGGTTCCAGAGGCTCTTTGCGAAGCGAAAGAAACGAGAGACGAGAACCGGGAGCCTCTAGTCACATCGTTTGCAAATCCCACTTCCACACTTGATTAGGTTCAGAATTTGAATCTCGGCGTCTCGCATGTGTGATTGGCCATTTGTGAAAATGTAGGTATCAAACTTGTTTCGGAATTAAACGTCACTGTAAGCTAATTATAGCCTGTATTAAAATATTCTATTTTAAAACTCAACCAAGCATGACTATTAATACTCCTGTGAAAAAGGTATCAAACTGATTAATATGTTTATCTCCTGAGAAATTTGATATTACTTTTTTCACGCTTTACAGACAACATGGCCCACCAACAAACTCGGCCCACCATTCAAGGACCAACTCGGCCCGCTCGTAAACCAACTTGGCCCTATGAAAATACGAGACGACTAAACTTGGGCGCACTTAGCTAGGAAACACTACAGAAGCTTGTCAAATTACTACATTGGGTCGTTCCAGAAAAGATCCACACTCTCCCCACGGAAGAAATTTCTGCCGTCCGGAAGGGAGGGGAGAAAAGAATGTTTCTGATAATAGTAAGTGTATTAGGACATCCGAATGGGGTAGGGGGGTTAACATCCAATTTCCTACGTTGGGGAGGTATGGATGTTTTCTGGAATGACCTATTTTATATTTTCTTGGTTTCATTTTATACTGGTTTCCAACTGTTCATCTCGTATTTATATTAGTCGCACTTAACACAAGACGTTTAATTCGTCCAGACGTTTAAGACGTCTTCTAATATAAATACCACCAATCTAACCATATTAAACAAGCTAGGAGCCATGACTGCGTTCTATCTTTGCAAATTTTGAGAGAGATTTGAAAGATCAGTAGAAATTAGTACTAATGTAATAGTTCAAATGCAATGATAAGTTATCCCTTGAATTATATCTCAGACACTGTGTTGGAAATTTAATGCTGATCCATTACATATAGATTATCATTTTACATCGTTGTTTAAAACATTTTGAACGCATGTAAGCAATTATTTTCTCAGCCCAGAGACATAGCCCAAAGACTTAACATCAACGTCCTTGTAATTTTATAGAGATAGATCCAGAACTAAGGATATTAGAAGGAATTATCTGTACCTTCTCAAAGTTGTAGACAATCGCGGGCACGAAGTGACTGATGGGCACTACATTCAGTATTTTAAAAATTCAGTATGCACATAAACTAAAAATTCAGTATATATTTACAGGTATAAACTATTATAGACTGACCGTTGCGAAAGATCGTGACTCTATTTTTAAGACCATGCATATATGGAAACCAGGCTTTAGCTTCATTTCACTGCTGCAGCTATTTAACATGTTATTAATGAATTCGAATTAATAATGCTGTATCAGTGTGCATGTAGAGAATATATAGCTCAGTACGTGCATGATTGGCCCAGTGCATGGATGTAACAATCCCCTATATCTTTCTGAAAATTATCAAAACCAGACTCTTTTGACTTTTTAACAGAATATATTTTAACAATTTGAACTATATATGTGTACACGTTTTTATTTTTAGTCCATATTCATAATATTTAGATTAACTTCTAACATTAACAATATTAAAGAGACAATAGAGTTTGCACGATCTTCAAGAATCGGTCAAGAATTTCAAAAATAGAAGACGAAACAAAATCCGAAAGGACTTCTAGGAGGATTCAACATATCGATTGTTACAACACCTCGGAAAAACCTTGTGATATTTAAAAATATTCATAATGGCTTTCGGATTCTATTTCGTCTTGTGAAAAGGGATATATAGGCCTACTTGGAGAGGCGTCAGAATATCAGAGGTGCGAGATGAATGAAAGTTGAACAGACACAAGATTTTACTTTTGAAATACTTTGGTTAAACGTTGTTGACACATCTTTGAAGATGGCAACGATTATTTAAGACAAATGCTACCAACATTTTGTTTTACAAATATCTTAAAGTTTGCGCAGCTATTGAAAATTCTAACATCTCTCACACTTTATTGTATTATTATTTAAGAAAAAAGGTAAATAAAATGGTAGAATGTTAAACGATATGTCACTAAGAAATGTTTCTTAAATTTAAGCCTATGTCTAGGAAGAACAAGTTTCTGTTCATAATGTTCTTAGTTATCTATCTTTACCAACATTCTGCATGGCAACATTCTTGAACTACCTTGTGGACTATAACAATTATCTTCGTAGATTTTTTGCAGAATCTTAATTTTAGTTCGTCAGAGATCGGGTTTCCGTTGACAAATTTCTACTTTTCATGTGTAGAAATAACACCACCATTGAACCACACTCGTGTGCACATGGTCATTGTTTGTTTTCATCTCGGTCGATCATCCCATATATTTTTAGAAGCTCTCATAACCACAGAAGTTAACTACGATTCATAGACGGTTTTGTTATTAGGATGATTTTTCCAAGCTCTTAATATATGGTAACGTTTGAGACTACGGGAACAAAAGTTTCATTTTCAAAATTTCAAACAAGCACAGATTATCTAGTTAGTACCATTAAACTCTTTCACCGTTATAAACCTTTGACTCTTTCCATTAAGTAGAGATTTGCTTTGGTCGGTTGAACTTGCATGCAAATAAGGACCCAACACTTGATCCTTGTGGCAGATGCTTTATATTTATCCAACGAATACAGCAGTTACTCACATTTAGCCTTTCCTTCGACTACAGCGCAAAGATTTTTGTAATACCACATTACCCGTCTCTTTGCCATTGCAATACTCTAAGTCTGTTTCACAGAATTGGAATTAACGATTATCTGAGTTGTCAGTGAATGAGACTGGAATGCACCAGACAAATATACTCCGTTGGAGATAGTCAGCTGAAGATGTTAATCTCTATAACTAGAATATTAGCCATTAATCAATTTTCGTCATTTCTTTATTCACTCACTGTGCATACCAGTGAAGAATACTATTGTTCTGTCGTCCAGGTTAAAAGCCAGGAGCAAAGTGTTGGTATTTTATTCTTAGTATTTATAATGTTTGCTTTCATCAGTGTTCCACTACGTTGCAGAATGGTGCAAAACGTAATTTTCCTAGAAGAATATGCTTTCATCATTGAAAGTTCAAATGCATCATGTCTCTATTTCAAGATTGAGTTCCAGACAGTGATTCGGTGAAAGTATTTACAGACGCTCTGTTTTTGCCACATCGCTTGCTTCATACTTCTTGGTATTATCGATGCTCATTCATGCAATTGCAGAATGTTGGTTATAGAGTTCAATTTTATTTTTCACAAATACAGAACTCAATACTGTTCTGTGTCACACACATCAACATACATATTCTGTTACACGTTCAAATGTATCCTGTTTCCATCTTTCAATTGAAGTTTGAACAAACTTGTACAATAAATTATCTATACCTTGCAAAAAATAAGCACATTTAAAAAAACCCAAATCTTTTTAGTTGAAAACGTTCTTTCCATATAATTAGCTTACGCCAATGCCAAGATAGAGCGTTTTCAAATATCGCCTTTTTCAAATATATATATATATATATATAGTTTTTCGTTTTACCTCAAAAAA